AACGCCCAAGAAAAAGTAATTAGTGGTGCTCAATAATCCCTATGACAACATGGAGTAGGTTGGAACAAAATTGATCGCCTTGCTGTCTTGATTTGGATTAACTCAATGGACTTGTCATTAAGATCAATACATTTGTCTTGTCGATATAATTTTTTTTTAAATTACTAAATCCAATCTCTCTTAAAGAATCTTTATCATTTTCTATTTAAAAATGTAATGGGAATAAAAGACGAGATTGAATTTTATCTATAGCCTATAATTGATTTTAAGTTTTCCTATCTACTAGAAAAATCTATCGGAGAAAAATTACATTTTAGATAAGATTTTTTCCGATAGTTTGTGATTTTTAAATCTCAAGACATATATATATTTTACAGTGGAAATTTCTTTTCGGATTGCGAATCTTTTAAATTACTTTGTAAGATGTTTTTTTAATATTTTTTCAAACGGAATTTTATATTTTTGAAATTTAAGAAAATTCTTAATTACGTTGAAATTTTTCAAATTTTGATCCAGACAAAGCATTCGATTAAATCACGCGACACCAACCGACGAGTATACAGCCATTGGTCAAATTGGTCCGAATGGTCTTTGTGCACTAGAACCTGCGGAGGTGGAGTGAGACAACGCAGCAGAATATGCTCAAGAAGGTAAATAAAGCCGTAGCTATAAATTTTCCTACTTCATGTAAATATTTTCATAAGGTCAAAACTTTCGAGTCGTGAAAAGTTCCTCGCGAGTTTAAAATTAACTTATACTAAATTAGTCATTATGTTTAACGTTAGAAATTAAATTACAAAATATTTATAAAGATATTTTTAAACAAAGTTTTGGAAGCTACAACCGACCTTTGCCTCTAATTTGCCTCGGAGATACTACTGAATATATTATTTGTAATTCTCAGGTAAGGAAATTTTATTTATAATTCATTTCAAAGCTATTTTCGTCTCATTCAGTAGAATATTTACCTATTTAGGATTGTCCTTCCGGAACGGCAGACTTTAGGGAATTTCAATGTTCTATTTACAACAAGCGAAGAATATCAGACCAAATGATACAATGGGTACCACAGTATGGAGGTAAATATTGAATTACCATAGAATACTCCCGTGTTGCTGGTAAACTATGAAAGAGGAAACACATTAATACTATTCAAATTTCTTTTTATATTGAATCTCTCGTAATATATCACATCTTGTGATGGTTTTAAAGCAAATTATTTAATTCATTTATATAAGAAGCTTTTGTCTTAAAGCTCAAAAACAAAAATCAAGGCAAACATACAGATTCTGAATGTAGAGGAAGATGTGATGACACTTAAATTGACGAGAAAAAAACTAAAATATATTCAATACAAGAAAGTAATATCTTTAAATAAATATAGTTTCATCGTTATTTGGATACTCATTTTACTTTATAAATTATATCCTCTATTATTTAACAATATACATTCGTCTTTGCATAGATGCGATATTTTATCTTTTCATAAGATTAAGATGTTATAGGTTTACAGATCTGTTAAATTCTTCTCGATTCAATTAATAAAAGCCGCCATTCGGTACTGTAATAGCGTTAGATAATTAAGTTTTAAATAGATCTTATAGATAATCTGTATTTACGGTTATTATTTAATACTCTAACAGTAAGTCAGATCTTATTAACTTTGGATAATATTAGAGAATTATAGTAGGTCCTCCTCTTAATTTTGTTCAAAGACTGCTTTATCCCTCTAAGTTTCCATAGGGAATTCCTAAGTTTTAGATCCTTCTTATCAAGCAAAGCGGTTCCTTTGTCAAAGTAAAACGCCAGCGGACAAGCATCATCTAGCTACATTCATTTACTGCTATCATTTCTCTATGGGAAATTCGTAAATTTATATTAAATTTCGTTTCGTTATTAAAGAATATATTATTAAATCTTCCAAATTTGATTTCAGTAATTTCTAAAATGTATAGATCTTTAACTACAATTTAGTTAGCTATTTATAATTATTTTAAATGATTTTCTGTTATTATTTTTATTATTAGTTTATCTCATTTTAATATCTTCCATTCAATTTCTATTTTTTTGGGAGGCTTTTATTTATTTATTTATTTTCGAATTTACAAAATTTCAGTAACAAGAATGATAAAACTAAACTTTTATTAAGTAAATAATCAAAAATCAATACTAATTTCTTGGAAAATTTTTGCAAAAGTTTAATATTTTCATCTTGATACACTTCGGTAATTTTACAAGCGAATGATAATTTAGAACTTTAAACTATTAATTGAAGACACGAGTGGATGAAAGTATTATGTAACAAAATCAAAATTTTCAGTGAACTGATTAACTTTTTATTATTTATTTCAGTGTAAACACAGCATATTCACGCATATAGAATATTACAATATTGTTTAATTTCTGAGATCTTTAACGGTGGTATGTGAGAGATATTGCACCTTCATCCATGCAGAACAACTGTAACATAACGCCTTCATCCACTCACGTCTTCAATTAATTGTTTGCTTGTTCGCTTCTTCATTCCTATCAAATTCTGTGAAATTATAAACACAGTCAATTTTCAAAAATAAAAAATATATATATACGTAATCTCAGTAAGAATTCAATATAATGAAATGTTAATAACCAAAATTTTCATGTCTTTGTTCATTCATTTGAGTTTTAGTAGGAACGAAAAAGTGTGCTGATGTAACGTAATAAATTATCTCAAAAATTAAAAACGTGAGGATTAAATTATACTGGAAAAAAAATGAAATATACGACTAAATTTTATACTTGATATTGAATATTCAACAATTTTGGAGTGTTGGGTGAGATGACGTCTGTCGTTTAAATAGAACCATTTAATGTTCTTTTTTTCTTATATCCTGATAACACTAGTAATACATCTAGATGTGATAAAAACGTGTACATAGTTTTTATGTAACACGTTATATAAAATATACTTTTTTAAACTTTTTTAAAGATATATTTACATGAAAATTTTTATTGGTTTTCTAAATTTATGCCTCAAAAGTGACAATGCAAATATAAAATTAATGCTTGCTTTATATGTAAAAATCCAGCAACTTTCTAGGCAAAAAAGTTAAAATTGTGTGTGGCATCATTTGTTATATTTTATTAAAACCTTTTTTATATTAATATTTAATAATAATAATAATTATTATTATTATAAAATGGCAAAAAAGGTTAATATTGAGGGTAAAGACGAGTTTTATAAGGAAAAAAAAATTAAATGCTAATAACGAATAAAACCTTAATTCCGACCCCACTCGAGATATAATACATGACCACTCTCTCTGACATTTAACCATCAAAATTTAATAGCATCAATGTCCCTAATACACAAACCTCCTTGCAAAATTTCAGAAATTTTCGGGAAAAGGCACAGGAGCTAAGCTTCAAAGTAAGTGAACGAAATCGTACTTTCCACACATTTACATCCCATGTACAATACAGTACATACAGAGGAGAAACGTCTTTTTTACATTTCTCGACGTTTCTCTCCTGATATATATATATATATATATATATAAAATCTGACCGATTGCCATACTTTCCCTCTGTTTATATATAACAGCTGGGAAAGGAAAATTACATAGAAGCAAGCATATAGACTAAATGGTGCAAAATACATAATTAATTTACGATCGCTGATGTATGCAAACGTTTAGTCTTTCGCAATGAGAGTAATGAATGCGCTTTCATCTGAAATTCACTGAAAATATCTCAGAATTAAGAATCATAAACACTTATACAAAACTATATACAAGTACAGTATAAGAATAACTTATTCTTGGGAGAACAACATTTCTATAAAGACAGATTTATAGATATTATACAAACTATATATCTATATATATATTCATGACATCAAATATCCTTACTACACTGTGTGTGTGTGTATATATATATAAAATCTTATCTGTGTATGTGTTTTTGATTATTCATGCTTCGCGTTTACTTACTTGCATGTTTTCTAATTGTCGGCTAATTTAATATTAATTAAAAAAATACATATAATTTTTAATAAATAGGATAAAAATTTAAGCAAAACCAACATAATAATAAATATAATTTCTTTTATAATTGAAGACTTTAGAAGTTATTTTAAATACTTTTCGGATAATTTATTGTAACTATAATAAAAATAATTATCAATTTCTTTTTTTAGAATTTAAATAATTAGAATTCTATTCACATAGTAATATTAGTATTATCAGTATATGTGGTTTTGTCCTAGGAGAAAATCCCTGTGAATTGAGATGTCAAGCAAAAGATCGTAGTCTTACCTATAGTTTCGGTAAAGTGATAGATGGAACCCGCTGTTTTCCAGGAGGTGAAGAACTCTGCGTTAATGGAAGATGTCTGGTAGGTCTATTCATTGTAACAGTTCTTCTTGCAAAGAATAATCCCATCTGACTGAAAATTCATCACTCTAAACTATCTTTTTTAAATCAAAAATTTTGATTTAGGATCCACCTTATCGGTCAACTTATGCTTCATAAATTCTAAATGCGATCACGTATAAAGGTTTCACTCAATTTTGTCCACCTTCGTATATTTTAAAACAAATAATGTAGACAATTTTCGTATATCTAGACTTAACAAGTATTTTATGTGCTGCATAAAATATATATTTGCCACTCTACTAAATGAAAAAAATTTTATATTCTATTCAATTATGAAACTTTATAACCTACGCTTACGGAATTTAAAGAACCATTTTTTAAAATAAAGCATCGTAACAATGACAAGTCGCTATTTTTAAACTGATTTTCTTTATATTAAGATGTATAGAAACGTCAATCTTAACCCCTAAATTTTTAATTATTATATAAATAAACTGTTACGAGTGTCCTCTAGAGAGAAGAAAATGAATCATCGGAAAAGTAATTTAATAATATTGACTTAAATATTAATAAATAAATACGAAATAAAATAATATTTCAATAATTTAGAATAACGTTTATTAACGAATATTTATTTATTTATTTATTTTAATAAAAAAATATTTTATTACGGTTTTATCACTGTTCGATGCTGCCATCTACTAGATGTTTTTCAAATTATTTTTTATAATTTTAATTATTTTGTATCGTTTTATTTTTCTTTAATTTTCTTAAAAATATATATTGAAATTTATTAGGTTTTTAATTTTGAAAATATTTATTTCTAATATATAAATTTTTAAAAATTTATGGTTTCATATCAGGTTTATGAGTAAAATATTAAAACCGTAAATTAAGATTTTATCCTCTTTTTTTTCACTTTTTATGTAGCCAGTTGGATGCGATAAAAAAGTTGGTTCGGATACAAATTACGACAAATGTGGAGTTTGCGGAGGTAATAACTCCACCTGCATTCATTACAAAGACATTTATTTGGAACAATTTCATCGTAAACCTGGAAGTAAGAAGGAAGGTAATTTCTTTTTTTTTTGGCCCGTCATAAATGTATTTTTTTTTTTAAACTTCGTATATTTATCTCAAATGAAAAACTTTTTATAAATTTTTTATTTAAAGAATAATTACTTAATGTTTTGCTCTTTTAGGATACCAAGAAATTGCAGTCATTCCAGCTGGAGCTACTCACATCGAAGTTCACGATACCAGTAGAAATTATCTAGGTATGATATATGAATTCTAGATCATTTTGGAATTAGATAAATTAATTTTATGCAATTATAAATTAATATAATTTCATATAAGTTTCTAAAATGCAGGATAATCATAATTAAAGTATTGTCTTGAGGGATGTGTAACGGTCCAAACTCAATCAAATTTCTGTATTCTGATGTTACATTTTTTTTCTTTTATTCCTCTTAGTTTTAGTTATTTTTATTTTTAATTATATAACTTTTTATTAGGTTTACAATTCATATACCATTTAATAAACTTTTTAGTTAAAAATCATAGTTATGTAATTAGAATTACACAATACTTTAATGTGTAACTTCTTATGAATACGAGATACAAGGCTGAAAAATGGTAATTTTGTTTAGTAATTTTTATTTTTACGAAACTTGACCACAAGAGAGCAATTTATCATTTATTTTCCCCTTTCAATTGGCATTTCATTTTTTCTTTCTTTAATCGTTTTTCCTGAAAAAAATGTCAATTCTGATTTGTGACATTTTGTCGCTGATAAGCGATAGGTTTTGAACCTTTCTTAGCTTGGTTTGACGTACTATAAATCGATTTGAAGGTCTTTTTTTTAAATCTAAGTTCATCAAATGTGTACACAATTGTGCCATAATTTAAATTCTCAAATTATATAAATGTTTTGAAAAGATAAGCTCTTGATTTGAACTTTAATGTGTGTGTATTTTAAAGCTATAAAATTAATAAAACTTTTTAATATTAAGATGAATTACAAATGAAATAAAAGGAATGTTGTTAATATCTTCAAGAACTTTTAAAATTATCTTTCTTTAAGCACTACGAGATGAAAAATCTTACAATTTAAATGGGAACATGGCAATTAATTGGCCAGGAGAATATAGAATTGCCGGCACAAATGTTCGCTATACCAGATCGTGGGATCATAACGAGACTTTAATGGCCCCCGGTCCTACAAATAAAGATATTCATCTGATGGTAAGTACTCATTTCTTTGCAATCATTTTTAATTTCTCAGTCAATTCTCATTGAAATCGTTTTAGATGCTATTCAGGGAGAAGAATCCTGGTGTATATTACGAATATTGGTTACCAAAGGAAAAACGTGCTTCTCTTCACAAAGTTGATACTTTTGTGACTACTCGTACACCCAGTACATATAATTCACCTCTCACAAAATATCAACATATAACAACAAAAAATCCATCGGAAATATATATAAAACGAACGGGAAATCATCATAAAAGTAATCATCACAAAAATAATCACCACCACCACCATCATCAAGCAGATAATCATGGAAACAAAAGAGAACGGAATCATCCGAAGCCGATTCCAGATGCTGAGAAAAACGAAATACACAGAAATAATGCTTTGAAGTACCCACATTACTTGACTGATAACCAGATAAATAGAATGAATGGAAAATTTAAACCCACTCCTAAAAAACCCATTTCTATATCGATAGTATCGGTTCCTGAGGGGAAAAATAACCGCACGCGTGTCATCACTAATGGAAGGAACTACTACAGTAAGTAAATTATTCCTTAATTTAGTTACAGACTATGATGACTCGTGGGGATTTCCCTACTTAAATCAATAAATGTCAAACTTAGGAAAACAGAATATTGAATTGAAATTTCTGTGAGAATCATTTATTGATTTCTGTTCCTTGAAAATGTCATTTTGATTTATTTTGAATAATTAGCTTGACAATTTGCGGTGAATGAGCAAATCTAATTACTCTAAAAGGATTTATTAAATATTGCTCAAATTTAATTATAATAGAAAATGATTTGACTTCATATTTTGTATTGTTTCAAATGCTATTTTCAATTTTAGATAACTTTTTTTAAATTTAAATTTGGATTATTTAATATTTTATACAAAATAATTAAGCAATAATTTATCTTAATTTAAGATTGCCATTTTTTTTCTTAAATAGGTAATTGTCAACCTTGCATAAAATCGAAAGATTTGGTGAGGCATTTCTGTACGGATGATTTCGGTAAGTTTTTCTACTCTCAAATTTATATACTGTACATTTATTATACATTAATAAAATCTAATTATTATTAAATTTTAGTGCTCAAAGTGCATATTCTTGGATATGATATTGTTCAAGGAGAAACACGTTACGAAGCTAATATTCTTCAGTCATACAAGAATAAGGTGGATCTAGCACCTCGAGAATATATATGGACACCGAGCAGATGTCGATGTCCCCGCATGAAAATTGGACAGGAATATTTAATAATTGGCAAATCGGATTCGAATTACAGAAAAAACGAAAGTAGGCTTATTTTAGACGGAAACAGCTTTAGCAGACGTTTCAATGATAAATTCGAGAGAAGAATATTAAAAGTGAGGAAAAATCAACATAAAAAGTGCAAGAAATTTTCATAATCTAAACAATAGGCATTAGTGTATATTTTAAACAATCAAGCACGAAGTTGCTTCAAAGGCAGCTTTGACCACGTCCATTAATTAAAAAAAAAAAAAAAAATGACTGCCATCGAAGACTAATCCATGTGAAGTCTATAGTATATTGTGAACGGCCAAACAAAATGAAATTATATTTAAACATTTCGTATAGCCTGCCTCCAATCTTTATTTATATCTGACGAATATTTTGTTCAAATGGTTTCAGTCGTAACTGAATCAAATTATTGTGTTCATGGGTTGAAGCTTTTGCTACCTCCTGAAGAACTGTGCAAAATAATACTGTAATAATAATTTTTTTTTTCGAGCTTGTGTCTGTAAAACCGTTTTATATTGACTTTAGAATCGTTTAAATTTCGCATAGATGTAAATTGATGATGATGATGATGATCGTTTTGTTATTTCTGTTTTTGAGTTTAAAAATGTTTAAAACAAAAATTGTCTGTAACGTGATTGCCTTATTTTTTTTCCTTGTCATTTTGTTGCTCGTGTAAGTTGAATTTCTTAATACTATTGTATAAAAGAAAAAAAAATTTCCATAACTTTGTTCTCATTCTGGATACTGAATAATTTAAATTTATTCTTTCTCTAAAATCAAATTTACTTAATCAAATGTTTTGTATTTACTTGATTTTTGAAGAATAATAACTGATATACAGAATTAGGATTAAAATCCACAGTATCTTATGAATATATAATCTTACTTGAAATTATACAAAAGTCCACATATATGGGGAAAATTTGATTAAAGTTTCACAAGGGCAGGAAAACTGTCTTGAATTCCATAATAAAATTGACCGATTCCTCTTTTTACCGGAATGGGATTCCGACTATATTAAATTTAAGGAAAAAATATCAAATTTGAAGTTTTTCCCTCTTAAACTTCTACCGAATGATCAGTGAATAAATTCAAAATTTAATGAAATTTGGCAGATATGAATAATAGACCTACAAACACGAAATGGACTTTGAATTTCTTTAGATTAATAAATGTTTAATAAGGGAATATTTTTATATAAAAATTTTATGTGGCTCTTCAACATCCAACCATTTTACTATAAAAAGATCAAGACAAAATATAAATTTAGTATTCAAGATGTTTTTTTTTTACTGATTTGATGATTTTTTAAAAATCTTTTTGACCTGTAGGCATAACAAGGCCTTTTAAATCATACACATGACAGGGTCGATCCATACTCGAGTGACGAGGAACTGGGCCCGACGATTAGGGTTTGTTTCCTTATCGCTCCGAATCTTATTTCCCCGAATCTCGCTTTCCCAAATCTTATTACCAGTCACATTACCAGTGGCGCATTATAGTTTTATGGGGTCTAGGCAAATTCGAATTTGCTTAGCCATCATATGAGCCTACACCACACCGGCAATATAGTCCCCAGATATGAAACCAAATTTAAATTATAAAGGAAAATCATAACAGTATCATAAACTAAACTACATTTACAATTAATACGTTTTATAATTTCTAAATCAATTCTCTCAGCAATATGCAGGTAAGAGGTAATGGTTATCCAGTTAATTTGTCTTGCTACACTATAGCAGTGAGCTTCCCTCGTGAAGGAATGGAGCATTTTGTACGAGGGGTGTTAGACAGTGGATGAAAACTAGCAAAAATATACAAATCATTAATTTTCAGTTATTTATTTCCTCGATGAAGCATTTCGTTCCGTAAATATGGCTACTTATGCCCTCAGAAACCGATCAAAGTACACAAAATGTACTGCATTTATGTTAAGGAGAAATTATACAGGTAAGAAATTCGAGCGAAAGTTTCAGAACTGGCAGTTCTTCCTAATGAAATTTATTTTATTGGTAATACTAAATACATTTTTTTATTTTTTTTTTTTAGATTACAAGAAATTTTTATTCTTTATCAACTTTTATTTTAATATTATTTATTACATTATAAATTTTTTAAATTAATCATATATTTTCTTTAAATGCATGAAATAAAATTTAAAAAATAACAAAGAATTGCTAATTTAAAATAAAGTTCTAAGTACTTTCTAACGATATCGATATTCCAAATAAAAAGTCAAGATTGAAATTAATTAGCATTTTTATATATTTTAAAGTAACGATTCTCTGCTAGAATCATTCTAGATAAAATTTCTTGCATAAACTAGCTGAGATGAGGGAAATAATATATTAATATGTATTGACAGATTAACTGATACTTCCAACTTATATATGCAGTGTTTTTCTAACAATTACAAGGTTTTCTATGAAATGGAGAATAGGCTCTTCAGTAATCAGTTGCATATATTAATTGAAATCACGTAGTTAATAAGTTTGTTGTTAATAGACTCCCTTCAAATGTAATTAACATAAGCCTTTTTTTTGTTTTTTAAACACACGAAGACATACATTAGTAACAATTCAAAAAAGAGCAATACAATATAATTTTCAGTTTTAATTTAGTTTAACTTTAAACAGTGCTGTAGCCACAATAGCATAGTATCTAATCAGAAGTGGTTCCACGCATCAGGTTCTAAAGCTTTAAATTTCTGGGGTCTCTTTAAAAAAGTTTTTTACATATTAAAGTAAAAAAATTTGACAACGTACATGAATATACACTTGTACGGACCTTTTTTTGTCTCTGTTTAGGTGTCCACAACTATGCATAAATGTATACTTTTAACGTGCTATTCTATGATGGACAAGTCATTTGGGAGTTGGGAAAAAAATCCCGTTGTGCCGGTCTGTCAAAATACGCCTTGTTCTTGTCTAGATCGTTGTTTTAACTGAATTTTAGTAAATTTAAATCCTCCCGCTTTTCTCTAGAGATTTTAATTTCTGTGCAAAGTCGAGCACACGGCACATAGATCTGTTTATAATTGATACGACAATGCCTGTCGCTGCATGCTTCGCGTTTATATTTGATTTTGCATAATACAGTAATACTTTGCTCCGCTTTTCGCTCTCAAAAATTGATATAAATCGATTTCAATAAAGCGGAAAGTTTAGAGTTAACCGCCATATCTAAAAACCGTTCTCAAGAACAGTTTATAAAGGTATTTATTTGGCAGTCAAATGAAAAGAACTTCATTAAACTTGCAAAGTTTGGCAAAGATCCCCAATGTAAAGAGAATTTGTAATTCTAAATCTTCCACAAAATTATTTTCCTTATAAAAACTATGAATGTGAAATAATTGCGTAAACATTTTACAAGATGAATTTAAAATATTCGTTGGTTTCTTGCCATTTGAAAAATATATCCGTCAGATGGAACTTTTGTACATAAAACAAACCGAACGTTTCCAATATTTTTTACATTTTCTTAATTAAAAAAAGTATGCAAATGTACAATACGTTCACTTTGCGGATCAGCAACATCACAGCAGAAGAAACGAGAGCTAGAAACAATTACTTTTAACTTTTAGTTAAATTATTAGCTATAACTAAGCTTAGGAATCTGTGATGTTGCACTATTTTTAATGTCTTATTTTGGGAGGAAACCATAACCAACCATCAAGAAATAATCTCTCGATCCATTTAAATGGAATTGTAATTCCCCATTTTGCATCATTTCCCTCAACATCATTTTTCGCCCTTTTTCAAGCTTGCCCAAATTACAAATGAAATTCGTTAAGAAATATCTCACATGTTGACTGATTTAATTGTAAAATATTTCTTTTAAGAAATGCCGAAAGTAGTAAGTAGGAGGGAAGGTTTAAGAAAACTAACTGCAGGATACGCTGAAGAAAGCATTGTTACCAATGAAAGAACTATCTTGGGAACTATGCTCTATGTTCTTTTTAGCACTCCTCACCCAATTTTAAAACTTTTTATCACCCGAAAATCCTATCCTTAAGTTATAATTTGTATGAATGTACAACACTTAGCATCGTCTAGTGCCTTACTTAGTCGATGCTTGCTACGAACCGATGCACAGTGAGATTCTTTAAGAAAAACTTGACAAATCTTACAAAATTAATTTTAATTATAATGGAAATGTGATCATTACATTGATATTTTACGAACTGTTTAAGTAATTTTATTTAGATTTTTGCAATTTAGAAAAATTTTTAGATTTGATTTATTGATTAAAGTTCACGCACATAAGGAAGTATCGGTATCGATACCACTGAACTGTATAAAACCTGTACGGATGTATAAAACTTTTTTATGATGAAGATAAGATCACTTCCAAGAAATGACGAGAATAAGTGTTAAATATATCTCGAAAATTCCGGCGTAAACGTGATTTTCGTGGTAAACGTTCGAGAAAATTTGTTCCGAAAATTGGACTTCGTTTTGAAAAAAATTGTAGACATATAAATTTCTACTGTCGTCCGTTTATCTGTCTGTCCTTCCTGAATCTCGAGAACGGTTTCATTTAGATGAAAGTCAAGACCAGATAGGAATGGAAAGCTTAGGAGCAGGAAGCCCCGATACACGAACTTCTGGTCTAGATCGACAGTCGTGTGATTACAATTTAGAATTTCCCATGAATGGAGTTATATAGATGACTGGCATGACTCTGTTATTATCAGGAAAAGTATTATGTTCAGGATTCTTGAAACAACATGCTTTTATTAATATTATTATATTAGATTAGCAAAGCTATTTTACAAGCTGTAGTTTCCTATAAAGATGATAACTATTGGCAAAGAACATTGGCTTCTGCGATGAAATCAAGAGAGAGCCATCAAGGCATCAAGAGAGCCTATTTTAAATGCATTGTAATTTTGCTAGGCTCACAGTGGGGTTGTGTTGAGTGCTTAGAGATGGGCTCGGGAGAGAGAACCTATGAAATATTCTTGCTGTTCGCTCGGATTTGACTCCAGGTTATTCAGAGCAGTGGGATGATGTCTTTACACTCCAAGCTTTCGACCATCGACATATTCTGATCAGTCCATTCGCAAAAATTGAGCCAATCAAGACTGGAACCTGGATCCCTAGGTTTTAGGAATGAATATTTTTTCTACCTCATTCTTTTCCTTTTAAATGGTTTAGAAGTTAAACTAAATCAACAATAAAAATATGCAATTTCGTACATTTGTATTCAAAAGCACGGACTTATTAAATTTAGTTAAGTAATAATTGTTAAGATATGATCAGTGTATCAACAATGAATATTTGAAAAACAATAAATTTTATTGTATTTTTTTTTTATTCTATGAAAAACAAGTAAATTATTCCATTTTAAGTAAGTTAAAAAAATAAAAAAGCAAGATTCCAAAAAATGAATTTTCAAAGAATCTAAATGACATTCATATTTATAAATAATTGACATTATTCTTTCAAAATAGGTTTTATTCATTTCAAGTCTTATTAGTTTTCATATTAATTGCCAAAATGTCTAAAGTAAATTTTATTTTAAATTACTTACGTTTTAAAACTAATTGAAAAACTGATGATTATCTCTTCTTTCAGTCTTCTGATAATAGAAAATATCTTAATTGTTCTCCTCCTCCGAATAACGACGACGATACAACAATAGTTATCAAACATTCAGCAGTTTGTATAATTTATTATAGCTATTTTTTCCTTATATTTAAATATAAACGCATGTAATATGAGCATAAAATATATATTTAAATATTACAAGTATATACCAAAATACAGTAAAAAAAAATAAATATGTACTGTACACATATTTAATTTAGTTATTTAAAAAATTAACACAGTATTGACGTACTAAAAGCATTAAACATGTTAAATTTAAGATACAAATGTGTCATTAATTTCATGATCTAAACTAGAAACAAATTATAATGTAAATCATATTGCTGATAGGGAAAATGTTTCAACTGTTTCATTATTTTTCTTACTTTCACAGTCGAAGCCACGTGTTAAATTCGAGCCTATGACTGAATCAGATTACGAAGATAATGCAGTACGGAAATTTAATATGTGTTATATGCCTATTTTAAATACACAGAACTAAATAATTATATTTTTATTTAGCCTCATCAAACTTCTTCACAATTATCTATAAAAACAACAATTAATATAGACGATTCTCCTGCGGTAAAGTTAATTCTTGATTTATGTAACATAAAATGTTTCAAATTTTATATATTAATATTTGAAAATTAACAGGGACAATACAATACAGACGAAAGTGATAATGTAAGTTAATATTTATTTTACTTTATTAAAAATATAATAATATTTAGATGTTATTATTATAATTGAAGGAACAACACGTATACTATCCCAGAGCACATCGTCCTAAGAAAAAACAATATATTCCCGAACCAGAACCTGAAAAACCCGATTTTATACGGTATAAAATAGAATTAACAGATTCTGATGATGACAACGACGATTTTGATTATTCTGAAGCTTTTCAAAGAATTTTCGACGAAACATCAGAAGGGAATAGTAATTCTGGATACAGAGATCAAAGATATAACGTTAGACATCGAGTTGCTCTCGGAAGAGATGAAAGAAACACTAAGTCTAATCCTTCCAGACATCCGACGAAGAAATCTTCTGATCTTAACGTAAAAATATATGACGTCCGCGATAAAAATCGTTAGTTTGTATAGGGATTAGAAAATTACCATTCGTTTCGCTTAAAATTATAAGTATATAAATTTACTATTTCGAAATAGAATTTTTGTTTTGTTTTAAATTCTGTATAGCCTAATTAATTTTTAATAGTTATTTATGGATAAAAAAAGCTTCATAAATAAAAATGATCATATCATTTATTATTATTTTGAAGAATTTTTTCTCTTCATTTTTATCTCCTTTTTTTAATTTATATTTTTCGATTTTACAATTTTCGATTCAAAGCAATCAAAATAAGGACAATTATCAAAATCAAAATAAGGAAAATTATCAGGGACACATTTTACTATATTTCCTCCCGATAAAACGTAAAATTAGTGAGTTAGATGATGAATCTGCAGAGCAGAATTAGTTACATTGATTCAATGGATGAAAAACCACACAGAAATTTAATCCTGTAAGATTATCTGGTGAAAATTCCTACAAAAATGGAAATTATTTGGACATAGAAATGAAACAAATCTGTTGATCCACGGTTCACCAACAATAAACTATCTGGCGAAAAGATTGATGAAGCCTCGGAATACATCAGTAGTTTTCATTTCCAATCCATGCCCGATATATCATTATCAAGCAGGGCCTTTCAAAAATTACTTCTTTGGAAACGTTCTTACTATGTCCATCAAGCCTCTGAATTGGTAGATCCTCCTGAATCCAGCTACAGTATCAACAAACAGAATTGAACGGTTTTTCGTTTTTTTTTTTTGGTTCGTTCAATCCAAACTAAGAAAGCCACAAGCTGGTGGTGGTGTTTAAACAAATATTTAAGTGTGCTGTCCGAACTTTAATTTCATGTCATTTGGAAGCACGAAAGAAACAGATATTTTAATATAATTGTATAAAAATAATGAAGAAACGCGAATATTTTTCGCTTTTGCTTTTTTTTTTGCATTGGCCCTAACAAAGTAATATTTTTATACCCATCACGAGTTCGATCGGGTTTACAATTGGGAGCAAGAGACGAAACCCGAGATATCCAAAACTTACCATCTATAAAATATTCACGAGGTTCCACTGCTCGGATGCGATTCCAGATCCCCAGAGCGGTAGGTAGGCTGATAGACACTTGGACGTATAGACGGAATGGGCGCATTATTATTATGAAATACAGAAATTATCGTAAGGAGAAGCATTGTCATTTATGCCCATTTCTTTTATTAGTTTTAGTTTTATAAATTTATTTATTAGTTAAAAAAAACAAATAACGTAGATGCAACTTTAATATTTCTAAAACCAATTCTGTTCGATTCAACATTGAAATGTGACAAAGTATGCGCTTATCTTTAACTGTCTCAACCGTCGTAATAGTATGAGTAAGAAAGAAATCTTATGCAACAAACTCAGAAAAAATTCGCTATCATGACACTGTAATTAAAAATTTTCCATGCCCTTAATTCGGATAAATCATAGAAATTGAATAGCACCGGATTACATTCCACTTTTAGTGTTGAAACAATTTAACTACTGAATATATATATATTCAGTAGTTAAATTGTTTCAACACTAAAAGTGGAATGTAATCCGGTGCTATTCAATATATATAGGCCTATATATGAAATATATATATATTTCAACGTTGATATATTTGAAAATGTAGTTAATGACAAAATTAGACTGAAATCGGGACATTTCTGTTATTTAATAACATTCCGGTGAAAGTATGTTCCTGTGAATTCCAGTAACTTGCGTACTAATTAACAAAATTTTTTTAAACTCACAAGTGCTAAAGTCAGGATGCTCGGTATTTTGACATTAACTCCTGCAAATATACAAAATTTGCATTTTTGAAATATTACTGGGTACTGAAATTCCTATTTTCAGTACCCAGTAAGTGCAATGCAACCGCACTACCCAAGAGTAGTGTGGTTGCACTGTACTTTAATATGCTTGATCTTTACCCACCGTACTTTTGGATTTGAAATTTTTGTTAATTATTCAGGACCCAGCGATTCAATTTTGACTCCTTTTTTGTTGGAATTCCCTTGCAAGATCTGCACGACTCCAGCATTTCAAAACAATACTATAATATCATTAGGGATGCATCCAAACAATTGCTTCAATGTTGATAGGACTGATCTAAAAAACGCGCAGAAATCATATTCTATATTAGTTTATCTTCCATTTTATTAAAATAGAAGATAAACTAATGTAGAATATAATTGAAGGAACAACACGTATACTATCCCAGAGCACATCGTCCTAAGAAAAAACAATATATTCCCGAACCAGAACCTGAAAAACCCGATTTTATACGGTATAAAATAGAATTAACAGATTCTGATGATGACAACGACGATTTTGATTATTCTGAAGCTTTTCAAAGAATTTTCGACGAAACATCAGAAGGGAATAGTAATTCTGGATACAGAGATCAAAGATATAACGTTAGACATCGAGTTGCTCTCGGAAGAGATGAAAGAAACACTAAGTCTAATCCTTCCAGACATCCGACGAAGAAATCTTCTGATCTTAACGTAAAAATATATGACGTCCGCGATAAAAATCGTTAGTTTGTATAGGGATTAGAAAATTACCATTCGTTTCGCTTAAAATTATAAGTATATAAATTTACTATTTCGAAATAGAATTTTTGTTTTGTTTTAAATTCTGTATAGCCTAATTAATTTTTAATAGTTATTTATGGATAAAAAAAGCTTCATAAATAAAAATGATCATATCATTTATTATTATTTTGAAGAATTTTTTCTCTTCATTTTTATCTCCTTTTTTTTAATTTATATTTTTCGATTTTACAATTTTCGATTCAAAGCAATCAAAATAAGGATTATCAGGGACACATTTTACTATATTTCCTCCCGATAAAACGTAAAATTAGTGAGTTAGATGATGAATCTGCAGAGCAGAATTAGTTACATTGATTCAATGGATGAAAAACCACACAGAAATTTAATCCTGTAAGATTATCTGGTGAAAATTCCTACAAAAATGGAAATTATTTGGACATAGAAATGAAACAAATCTGTTGATCCACGGTTCACCAACAATAAACTATCTGGCGAAAAGATTGATGAAGCCTCGGAATACATCAGTAGTTTTCATTTCCAATCCATGCCCGATATATCATTATCAAGCAGGGCCTTTCAAAAATTACTTCTTTGGAAACGTTCTTACTATGTCCATCAAGCCTCTGAATTGGTAGATCCTCCTGAATCCAGCTACAGTATCAACAAACAGAATTGAACGGTTTTTCGTTTTTTTTTTTTGGTTCGTTCAATCCAAACTAAGAAAGCCACAAGCTGGTGGTGGTGTTTAAACAAATATTTAAGTGTGCTGTCCGAACTTTAATTTCATGTCATTTGGAAGCACGAAAGAAACAGATATTTTAATATAATTGTATAAAAATAATGAAGAAACGCGAATATTTTTCGCTTTTGCTTTTTTTTTTGCATTGGCCCTAACAAAGTAATATTTTTATACCCATCACGAGTTCGATCGGGTTTACAATTGGGAGCAAGAGACGAAACCCGAGATATCCAAAACTTACCATCTATAAAATATTCACGAGGTTCCACTGCTCGGATTCGATTCCAGATCCCCAGAGCGGTAGGTAGGCTGATAGACACTTGGACGTATAGACGNTAATCATATCTGTGTAGATAAATTATATTGTTTGGATGATGCTACCATCTTTACAGACTTACAGTTATAAGTGTACGTATTTGTATAAATATTACAACTATAAGTATATGTATAACAGCATATTTTTTTTTGTGAAAATTAAAAAAAAAGTATATAAAAATTATAAAACTTTACCATTTAACACTTCCTTCAGATATTTACGTTATACACAAATAAATAAATTTTAGCTACTTTTTACTATTTAAAATAGATTATTTAAATATTTTATAATTATTTTTACGTGACATTTACTTAAATTTTAAAGCAGTTAATTAACCGTCTTATACAAACCTCATAATTGCTATCTATTAAAGTTTCGTAAATCCTTTTTCCTTAAATGAATACTTGATATATAAATAAATCAGTGTAAATGAAATTAAAATTTATGAAATAATTAATTATCAAATAAAAACTTTTTTAGAAACTGCAATTAGTAAAAAATTAATTATTTAAATAAAAGAAATAAAAAAATAGATACAAATGGATAAAGTAATTTTTCCGAATTACTATATAAAAAAAGGGAAAGATATATTCAAATTTTATTCTTTCGATGCAATATTTCAAAACAGTTCTCATCAAAAAATGCTTTTAAATTTGAATTCCTTGCATTTTATTTTCGGTTTATTAAACATAAAAGTGTGAACTAAAATATTATTGAAAAATACATACAGCGTATATACTTTCAACACTTTCTTACAAACGATTGAAGTAAAATATATTTATTTTAGTCAATATATTCGTAGAAACAAGAGCAAAATAGCAATACGGATGTTCCGAAAGAAATCATAAAATTGATCAAGTGCAGAAAAAAATAAAAATAAAAATAAATGAAGAAATGTACTTTAACTCTTTTCATATTTGAATTGAGTTTGTAAAACGTATGTTTCGCTTCACGATTTATAATATTAAAATGAAAATATATAAAATTTAATATTAGAAATTTAATATATTTTAAGAAACAATTTTATATTTTGACAAGAAAGTTAGAAAATTGACGAAAAATGCATCTATTCGCATCACACTTTCTTGTTGAGGTTCTGTTTAATCCTCCTTACAACTAAACTTCCATCAAAATTACATTTAACTTAAAAAAATTTTAAATAGAAAGAAATTGTAAAACTGATCTTCGTCACATTCTTAATTATAGGAATGTCTTTTAGAATTTATTAAATTCTCGTAATTAGTGGTGCGTTATAGCTTCGTGGATGCCCAAGCATGAGGCCTCCACGTACAGTGTTGATTTCAGACATTTTTCTTCCAGGGGAAGAAATATTTTCTTATAAAAGATTCGTTTGGGGGTCCCCTGAATGTGAGGGCCCCAGGCAATTTCCCTTTTTCTTTTCATAGGATAACGCGCCACTGCTCATAATTATAGATACGAGGGGACTAATTTTATAATATTTTTATTACATTTTTAATTATAA